GCTTAGGGGGGAAATCGTGCTGCTGCGTCCATTGCAAAAAAAAATTTCAGCCTCTGCCGCCTGGTGGATTTTTTTAGGGATCATCCCAGCTCTTCTGGGAATAAAAAATTGCCAAAGATTTTTCTGCCAAGACTGATTAACGTGTGCGCATGGTGCTATACTAAAATCTGGATTAATGCGAGGGTGCGTGTTCTAGGAATAAACCCTGAACAAGTCACCTGCAGTGGAGGAAACGCTGAGAGCGAATTCCTGATGGAAACAAGGACAAAACAGTGAGGTGTTGGGATGAACAGGACTTTGGGGTGACCCCCGCTCCCCCGGCATGGATGAAAGCAAGAGCTCTGGCCCCGGTGCAGCCCTGAGCTGCGCTCGCTCTGCTCAGCCCCGCAGCCGGGAGAAACGCGCAAGGTAAAAAGCGCTTGTCGCAATGAATAAAGTCTGAAATACATCTTTGGAAAGTCTTTTTGATTTCAGTTGGCATTTCTGAGGCTGCTGCTGGAGGATCATAGAAGAGCCGGGCTAACAGCAGAGCGAGTCCCTGGGAGCTTTCCTCTCGCCCACCTCGGGCGTTTGCTGAGCGCGTCCTCAGAGGACCCGGAGAGGGGCTGACCGTGAGCCTGGGGTCAGGGCTGCTCGGCAGCCTCCCGCGGGGAGCTTGGGAGATGGCGGCTTTTGACCTCTGTCAGCACCAAAGGGAGCTTTGTTTAAAAAAAAAAAAAAAAGGAAAAAAATTGTAACAACAAGCAAACAAAAACCCGTATGGGGATATTGTTTAAAAATCAAAAACAAACCCCCCAACATCCCTCACAAACCCTCGCAACAGTTTTTTCTGAAATTTTGCAGCCCTGTGTCAAGGCAATCTCCCTTCAAGCACCCTTTTGTAACGAAGAGGCTTTGTTTCATCTGGATGATGAACACCTTGTTCCTGTGTGGACGTGTCTGCGGTCATCCCCTCCTCGGTACAGCAAAGAAATGGCTCTTGCCTGGTTCAGGGACAGACCTGAGACCCTTCAGGAGCCCGGAGCCCCGGTGGTGCGGAGGTCAGGAAGGATGGGGCCGGCGGTGAGAAGCGAGCAAGACACGCCGGGAGAGGCAGGGAAGGACGAAAGCCGCAGCAGACCCCAGCTGGGTCTCCGAGGCTGGGAACCCTCCTTGCTTTAGGGGCTTTTTGTGCGAAGTCATTAGTTGCTGGGTGAGCAGAGAGGTGGTTTTGCAGGCGCAGGAGCCCGAGCGGAGAGCAGGGCACTAACCAAACCTGCGGCAGTGGCTGTGCCGGAGGAGCGTGGCTCGGAGGCAGATAGCAGCGGTGGCCCAGGCGGAGCATCTCTGCCCCTTGGCTTTTGTCTGATCAGCGTGTTAAATGCAAACAGGTTTAAAGTCTGGTTTAAACGGCTCATCTGTTCGGCTGGCAAAGGTTAAAAGATCTCCAGTGTGTTTGCATTTAATTATCTCTTTTAGTGGCAGATTATTTTTTTTTCGTAGGAGATGAAATCTGGGTGGGTTTAAAGGACGTTTCTCTAAGCGGAGGCTCACGCACAATGGACTGTAATGATTTATTCGGGGCTGCTATGCTTTGTCTATCCTTGTTAAGTACCCTGAGAATACGAACTGGCACTGAGGGAATTTAATGTGACACATAAAAATAAGGAGTGTTGGAGAAAGCTGTAGGCTTTACGGTATTGAACGAGCTTGTGTCCTTGCTACATAGCAAGCAATTTTCCTTGAATGTGAGATGCCAAAAGTGGGAGAACACCTATTGCCTTGCCTTGGGCCTGGCACGGGCCATGTCAGCATAAAACGGGCATCCCGGGAGAGGGTGAGCTGCCAGCTCCGCGCTGCTCGTTTGGGAGCGTGGCTGTGCTAGCCAGGCATTGCTGCGCTAAAGTGGATTAGTACCAAAAAGGCTGAATATTGGAAAATAAGCATGAGTAAAAATGTAAATAGGATCAGCAAGCTTGTTTAATTTTTATATGTGAAAATTACACATCACCATTGTCACAGCTCATTTAGCTGCGAACCGTTCTTGCGGTCCTGGTTGGTGTATGAAGGGTTTGCTGTGAGCCGTGCCCTTGCTGGCGTCCTCCTCCAGCCCCCGCGCCCGTGCAGCTCTGGCACCCCGCTCTTTGCAGGGGAGTTAAGCACCAGGAGGGGCAGGTTGGGGGAGCAGAGCGGGCTGAGGTGTGGGGAAAGGCAGGTTTCGGGTACCCGAGGTGTGACGTTAACCTGCTGCCACGACTTCGGTGAGTCAGTCCCTTCCGCTGCTTCCCTTTGCCTCCCCGGGCAGGGCAGCAATGCTTTGCTCTCCAGGCTTACAGGAGGAATCCCATCACTTGCTCTAGTCCTCTTCTGTCCACTTAAAAAAGCCCTTTAAAAGCCATCTCTCTCTAGGAGATGAATTCCTCGCACATATGCTGCCTCCCAAGGACCTTCTGGCAACCTCTGTAGCAGAGCTGTAGCATGCAAAAACGCTTGTGCCAGGTAAGGTGCCTGTCAGGGGAGTTAAGCTGCCTTTAATCCTTTCCCTCTTCCCCTGAGCTGAGCACACAATCTCCCGCTGACACGGGAATGCACATTAAATGTGGCTCTGGTTTAGAATTTGTGAGCAAGAAAGGGGAGGGACGTTTTCATTTTTTTTTGGTGGCATGCTGCTTCTAAGAAGCCGGAGCCATCACTGCCTCTGACAGCGGCAGCTTCTCCACTTTACTCAGGTAGAGGGGTTTGCTCTGGATGCAGGGCAGCCTACTGCTGCTCTTGCACCAAATGGACACCCTCGGAGCCTTCAACCAACAAAACGCCTTTTTCCTTTTAATTTATTTTGCGCAATTGAGGGCTGCCCAGAACAGCTTATATGACCTGGTTACATCCTTGCACAGAGCTTTGTGTGTAGCAGTACCACTGAGGTGAGACCCCGGGGTTTCACCTGGCCTTGCTAGCAGGTTGTGGGGTGCAATCCCAGAAAGACAAGGCAGGTATCGCTGAGGCCCCGTGCCCCTGCAGAGCTGCCACCCACCCGCAGTGCCCTCTCGAGCAGTGGCAGTGGCTCTTTCCAGCTGGCAGTGGCACTGCAGACCAGCGCTGCAGCCTGCTGCTATAAACTGACCTTTTGGAAAACAGGGAGCAAACCACCCTAATGGGCTGCAGGGTCTTTAGTCCCGGCTCTTTCTGCTGTTTAATCAACTCTTAGACAAATGCTTTTGTACTGCGGCTGTCTGCTCCGGATCTGCGGTCTCAGTCCCCCCCTAGGCTGCCAGGAATTGAGGGCGCTGGGCATCCCTGACTGCCAAGGGAGGATGGAGGCAGAGGAGCCTCCGCCTCGGTGCTGTGGGTGCTGACAGTCATGAAGTGTCTGCAGGGCCCCGTGTCCCCACCACCCGCTGCTCTATTTGCCACTGTCATTTGCTAAATAATTGTTTCTCTGCAGTCTGGTCTCTTAGGACAGCTCTCCCAGCGACTTGGGCATCTTTTATTCGTAGCGTTAATTCTCTGTTTCTCTGAACACTTATCTCTGCGGCCGAGGGGAAGAGCAGCTCTCGGGGGTGGAGAGCCCGCGTGGCATCCTACCCAGCAGTTATCACACCAGGCCATGGAAGTGGTGGGAGCGATGCTGCCCGGGCTTGGTGCTGTCGTAGACCGGGCACAAACCAAGTGAGTCAGGAGTGAAGCAGATGCTGGCATTGCTGGCAGCGAGCTGGCCGGTGTTTGGCTGCAGGACTGGTGTCTGGCTCGGTGAAATGCACCCGGTGACTCTCATAAAGTCATCACCAAAGGCCAGCTCTCCCCGCCGGCTGCCCTGGCTGCAGCCGGGCCTGTGTGCTTGTCCAGGAGCATCCGAGAGGGGAAGGGGCAGTGGGGAAGGGCTGTTCCTCCTCCTCCTCTGCCCTTGCAGGGGCACGCTCAGGTGGGTCGGCTGCTCAGAGAGCGGCTCCCTGCTTCCACGTTCGGCTGTTGTATTTAAAGCAGTGGTACTTAGCAAAACATACGTGCTGAAATACGACAGAAAGTGCGGGCTGGGAAGGAATATAAAACATTTGCTGCCCTTTAAAGAGGATATTTGGCGATCTTCCTCTCGCCTTTCCCTCCTGAAGCCCTGGCCGTTCAGCCTGCTGTTCCCGCAGCCTGCGTGCCCCTGCAGCAGCGTGTTGCCCGACAGCCAATTTTAATTAGGTTTCTCTTATAAAACCAAAATGTGGAACAGCGAAGCGCTGTCAGCTCAGACCTTCAGCTGTGACTCTCCTGAAAGCCCTCGGTCAAACAGCAGCGTGGTTCTTCCAGCCATGGGGAGATGTGCCTGGGCTTCCCGCTGAGCTCTCCCCAGGTACGAGGGGCAGGGAAGCAGGTTGTGATGGAGGCTCGTAAGAGGGGGGTGAAGTCAGTGTCCTCTGCGTGCGTCCGCTCTTGTTCTGCAGCGGGAAGGGGGGCAGAAAATAGGATTTAACAGAGCGGCATGCGGCGACCAGAGCATCTCTGCCAGAGCGGGGTGGGCTGCCTCCCTGCCCAGGGGAAGGAGGATAAATGTGACCTTTGCCAGGTTGCCTGCTCTCACGGAAGGAAATTCAGATTTCTCTGTGGCCACGGAGGGAGGCTGAGCAGAGTCGAGTGCCCCTTCTCAGGCACCGTGCGTGGAGAGGGGCTGGGGTTTACTTGGGCGTTGTTGCGCAGTGCTTAAAGCATCTGTGCCTCAAACAAGAAGGCTGCTGTAAGCGATGGCCTGAAGTGTCACGGCTGGAAGAGGACACGGGAGGGAGGGGATGGCAGTGCTCTGCCCCACCGCTGCTGTGTGAGCTGCAGCCCCTCTCGTGTCAGCCCTTTCGGTGCCTGAGGTCAGATAATGGGGCAGAGCTGCCATCCTTGGGAGCCTGCCTCCTCCTCCTCCTCCTCCTGTGGGGATGTGCAGGGAGGTGAGGTCAGGAGGGAACTGTAACACACGCAATCTCCACTCCCACACCTGATGTGGCTCCTGTTGCCCTCTGCTCCCATGTCGTTCCTTCCTATCCCTGCAGGGCTGTAATGTCATGGAAGACCAGGACCTTCGGGACATCGGGATCGGTGACCCGCAGCACCGTCGGAAGCTCCTCCAGGCTGCTCGCTCCCTCCCGAAGGTCAGCACCAACACCTCTCACGTGAAGCAGGGACGGGGCATTGCCCAGCGCGGCTGTGAAAGCAGAGGAAACAAAAGCCAGACCCTCTGACTCCAGCTCCGGAGGGGTCAGGGGTGCTGTGGGAAGGGGTTTGGGAATAGCAGGGAGGAGCAGGAGTATATTGGTCTGCCAGCATGTGGATGGGATGACTCCGTGCTGGGGCGAGAGAGTGGCTGGCCCTCCCGCCAGTCTTGGACCCAAGTGTGTTACCGTCAGGGACTTTTTTTAAATTTTTTTTTTTTTTTTTTTTTTACTTTAAAGCTGTTAGTGGAGATGATGATGGCCTTTAACCTGACTTTAATTGATGCTGTATACCTTGGGATCCCAGCCCCCTGGGGCTTTTAACCCCTTTCTTATGCTTTTACAGTTGAAACCCCTGGGCTGTGATGGGAACAGCCAGCCATCGGTTCCCGCATGGCTCGACTCTTTGGGGCTGCAGGATTACATTCAGTCCTTCCTCTCGAGTGGCTACAGCTCTATTGACACTGTGAAAAACCTCTGGGAGCTTGAAATAGTAAACGTGAGTATTTCCTTTCTCTTGCCAGGGCACCAAGGTCCTGCCCACGTTCCCTCCAGGGCTGCGACTTGCAGGCAGTTGTGTTAAATGGGAACAGTGCTGCTCGCGGAAGGGAAGCTTTGCTTCGTGCCGAGGGCAGGAAAACCTACAGTGACTGTGGTTTCTCCCTGCAGGTGTTGAAAGTGAATCTGCTTGGCCATCGGACGAGGATCATCGCCTCCCTGGCAGACAGACCCTACGAGGAGCCACCAGCAAAGCCGCCGCGGTTCTCGCAGCTGAGAGTGAGTCACTGTTTGTGTTCCCTGCCGAGCTGATCTGTCTGTGCGGAGCGCACTTGGCAGTGGCCGGGATGCTTTCTTCTGCCCTGCCTCTCGTTTACTTTCCTCTCTTTCTTTCAAAGAATTAAACCTGGGTCTGTCAGGAATAATTGTCCCCTTTCTGATTAGCAGCCATCACCTCTGGGGAACTGGGAGATCTGTAGAGGATGTTTACTGAGAGCTCAGGTCCTGGATGGGTATCCAGGCTCAGAGAGGGAGGCACGTTCAGCCTTACCTTGCTGCTTTCATGCACAGGAAATTCTGCCTAGCAAAATCAATAAAAAAGGGGAAAAAAAACCCTACAATGTCAATATTTAAGTTAAAACTCTTTTGAAGGTAAGTGTTGAGAGTAATAAGCATAGAGAGTGATCTTTGAAAATTGCATTGCTTTTTAAAAAAAGGAAAGGGTAACATCTAAATGGCACTTATTTATGGCACTAATCTATGGCACTAAATGGCACTTACTATGTTTCTTATTAAAACAAATTGATTTAACCTGGAAGCTTGGGTTACTCCTGGTTCTCAGATAGTTGGTAGTTTGGAAAGAAAGTTCTTGAAGCGTTGAGGCAACGGCACATCTGGCTGTGCGGAGGAGGGAGTGTTTTGTGTTAAACAGTTCCCATGGATGCACCTTGGCTGCTGCTGGAGATGATGCAGAGCCCAGCACTCCCACTCCGAGCATGGTCAAGCAGAACTTGGGAAATGTAACAGCCAGGCTGGCTCTGACTTGGCCAGAGCACCTGGAGCACTTGGGCAGAATAAAAACAAATTACAAATTTGACATTGTGCTGTACAAATTCTGCTATGGCTGAGCCCCACAGCAGCAAACGTCACCGTTTGTTTGGAGAGATGCGCTCTCGCTGAAGTGGTGGACGAGTTTACCAAGTCTTTGCTTTCTTCTTTGCGGGTCAAACTCCATCTTCTCTGTGCAGAACAAAGCTGAAGTGTGCGAACACGACAGCGCTGGGAGAAATCTTAACGTGGCCAGTTGTGTCCATTCAGCTTTTCACCCTATCAACTCCAGCGCCCCAAGCAGCAAATACTCGTGCAGGCATGACCCTGCTATTGAAATGAGTGAGGGAAAGTAACATTCAGCCCTTGCAGGTCAAATTCGGAATGCCTGCCCCATGGGAACTGTCAGGCAGCTCCTTCGGATCAGGTGCCTCCATGCAAGGTGGGTGCCTGCACTGAGCAGGTAGCAGGGCTCTACTCCCACCTCTGTGCCCTGCTCCAAAGGGGAATACCGAGCTGATTTCCTTCCCTTTTTTTCCTGGCCAGATGTAAGGCAGCCTTCCCGAGGGCGGGAGTGTGTCATGGCTCAGCTGGTGCGATGGGTTGCAGCTGGGACCTGGTGTTTTGATTGTGCCGGTTGGGAGTTTGAGATCTGTCTCCCTGGGCCGGCTGGGCTTCTCTAGAGCTCTTGCTCTCGCTGCCAAATAGCACTCGATGTGATTTGTGGATGTTGACTTTTTGCTGCGGGAGTGGCAGCCTTTGGATGTCAGGCCCTTCGTTATTGGGGTTGGCTGGGAGGGGAGCCGTCATGTTCGCCGTTCTTCCTGAAAACCGACGTTTGGGAGCTGAGTTTGGCAAAAGCCGTTGAGCTTGCAGCTAACCTGTGAGCTCGGGAGCAGAGCAGCGTGCCACGGAGGGCGAGCGTTCTGTGCTGCTTCCTCCCAGTGTTTGCAAATCAGCTTCCTGGAGCAGGAATTGGGAGTGACTGGAGCTTCCCCATCCCAAACATCTGGTCCTTGCCCTACTGCAGAGCTCTTCCCTCTTGCCTTGGATTCCCAAGGCTTTTCAAGCAAGACAGTCTTAGCCGAAGTGAGTTGGGCTGCTGTGCCCTGCTTGCTCACATTGGATTTTTTAGGAACTGGGGTTCAGGTGTGGAAAAAAAAAAAGAAAGAGAGAGGGTTCACGCTGGTACTGCACTGGGAGTGTCTGCTCGGGAGCTGGGAGGGTGCCACGTACAAACCCCGCACCTTGGCCCTGCTGCTCAACTGCCCCTTTTTCAGACAACGAAAGCCTGGACGGGCAGCAGCCAGCTGAGGATCCACACTTATCTGAAACGTCCTCTTGAGACCGATGAGACTGAAGGCAGGGTGGTTGTGGGGGGAGAGGAGTCCTTTGGTGCATCATCAGCTGATTGATATGCTGGACGAGGAGGCTGTGTAAGAGAATGGGCCATTTGCAGCATTTCCTGGTGCTACAGCTGGTGCGATCCAGCGCCTGGCTCGGCGTGGGGAGCGGAAGGACGTCAATGGCAAATTAAGCAAGTCCGTTGAATAGGACTAATGCGTGTTGCAGCTGTGAGCTTCCCGCATTGTCTGCCGGGCCGGTTGGCACGTACAGGCAGCGAATCTTGCCTGCAGTAAGAACCAGGCTGTCAGGCATCTGGGCTGAGCTCTCGGTGGGCTCCCTGGGCTTTTCTCCTGGGGTGGCTGATTGTCAGCGGCGTTGAGTGCTTTGCTTAGTGCTTCAGCGGAGGCTGTTCCTCTAGAAACACCTTGCCCGCAGCTCAGTGTGTCTCCTGCCCTCCTGGGGTGAGCTCACGGGAGGCGTGCTCGGCAGAAAGGGCTGCATACCTGCCTGAAACCGTCCTGGAGCAAATCATGGGTATCGTGCAGAAAATAAACGGTGTGATTGATGATGCTGAGACAGGAGCCTGCAGAGCAGGAGCTTGACCCCGTTAACTCTGCTCATTGCACCCTTTGTGTCGGGCACTGTAAAGGGGAGCGAGGGGTGGGCACGGATGCAGCACAGGCTGACCGGGACGGTTCCTGGTGTCTGATTGTTTCAGTGCCAGGACTTGATGTCCCAGACATCGTCGCCCCTGAGCCAGAACGACTCCTGCACGGGCAGATCTGCCGATCTCCTGCTGCCCTCCGGGGACACCGGGAAGAGGCAACACGACCGTGGCACCGAGGTTGCTCCCTACTCCAGAGCAGAGCGCTACAAAGCACAGGTCAGTGGGTGCTTTTGTGTGTCCTGGGGTGTCCCTCTTTGCAGCTCAGCACAGGCTCCCCCCTCTCTGGAGCCAGCAAGGAGTTAGGGCGATGCACGGAGAACCAGGGAGCTGGTCAGGCACAGCTTCCCATGCTGTTGCTGGCTCAAGCATTAGACCCAGCAGCTCCTTTGTGCCTTGGTTTTGCCTTGAAAATGGGTCACTCACCCTTCCGTGGGTGCTGGCACCTTCGCTGGCAGCGTGCCACCCCCTCCCAGCCCCTGTGCGATTTGGCCATTGCAAACCTCAGTTGTATCAACCCAAAGAGCCCTCCTGGGGTCCGTGTTTCAATCCAGATCGGTGCTGTTATGGCTTCACATCTGTGTTTCTTCCCCTCCAGGAGGACCGTCGGGAGTCCAAGCTGACCCTGCGCCCCCCCAGCCTGGCTGCCCCCTACGCCCCAGTCCAAAACTGGCAGCATCAGCCGGAGAAGCTCATCTTCGAGTCCTGCGGGTATGAGGCCAACGTAAGTGGCTTT